AATTATGCCAATCATCTAGAATGTACAAATTGGCTAGAAATCGGATGGCCAAATTTTAAAATATATTTTAATTAGGTACTGAATTTTGACTTATATCAAATCAGCTATAAATCGGATGGTTGATTTTTGGCTGATTTTTGATAATATCCAATTTTAGGCCGATTTTGAGCCGATTTACCATATGCTAATTTTTTTGATTTCAACCAGTGTATAACGATCATGCGAAATGTCACCTGATCTGCATTTAATAATTATGATACGATAATTAACAGCATATTATGTATATGTGTATTAAGAAAAATGAAACAATAATCTTTAATAATATATTATCAAAAGTTTTCTTTAAACTCTCCTTTTATTTACTTTAAAAGATTCTTTTGCAAAAAACTTTTTTTATATATAGTTTTTATAAATGCCTTTTATAAATAATAAAATTTTAACTTAAGTTAGAGATGTTTAATAACCTTTTGAATTTAAGACCTTTTTTTTATATATCGGATTCTTTTTCTAAAGTTTTTAGTATTCAAAACATTTAAAATTCATTTTATATAAAAATAAAATGTTTTTATTAAAATCCAGTAAAAATTATAAAATTCTTTATTTAATATTTAATGTAAAAATTAATAAATTCAAAAAAAAAATCTTTTTCTAATATAAAAAATGTTACGTGACTTTACATTCTTGCATATTTCCATGACACTGCTCATTTACCATTTCAATTTCCTGAAACTTTTGCCGTTTTCTTAAATGTGTAATTGAATCAGTAGAATTAACTTTTATTTTTTTCTCTTGCTTTTTCTTTTGTTGAGCAATAGTATCAGTTTCTATATTGTGTTTTCGCCGTCCAATTGTAATTCTAGTTTTTGATTTTTCAATATCTTGTTTATAAATGTCATGTAATCTTTCTTTTCCAATATCATAACATTCAAAAAGTCTTTTAAATCCCTGTTCATTATTTTGCGAAGTTCCTTTGAATAAATCATGATCAGATGAATTTTGATAAGTAAAAGCTGCATATAATTCATCTACTAATTTCCACATTGCTTCTTTTCTTGATTTCATATTACGATCATTTTGTACAAGAAGTGTATCACCAACATATTCGTTTAACAATAAGTTAATTCTTTCTCGTTCAGATTGAATAGAAAAAATTCTTGATTTTAAATCTTCTTGATTTCCCAAAACCCTTCCAATATTTTGTTTAATATATTTTACTCCAAAAGTTTCAAGTGCTTCGTCAAATGCGAAGAAGTGTCCAAGACGAGTCAAATTAATAGAACATAAATGATCTAAAAGCATTTTTAAACCATTATCACTTTTAACATAAGAAAGAAAATGAGTTGTGAATTGTGCATAATTACTTCTTCCAACAATCGGAAAAAGTGGCATAAATGCTGCCAAATTCTCTATTTGTATATCATGGTTACCGAATCTAATTCCCAGTTTGTGTTCAACCCAAAATCCCGTCCAGTAAAAATAAAGATACCAGACTTTTAAAACATTATTTTTCCCATAAAAAATATCTTGTATAGTTATATTTTTATTTTTTACGTACAGAGTAATGGCAATTCCAACTGCCATCCAAATTAATTCCAATACACGACAAGTGGCTGGATAGTCAACCACCTTTTCTAATTTATCAAAATAAGAAACTCCAAGAACTGCTGCAAGTTTAAAAATCCCATAGCCAGAAAAAATTGCAATTAAAGTCGTACACATACTTTTATTAGTATGCCATGCCCTAAGTAAAGGTCGTATTTCTGGATGAGTTTCATGTAAAGAAACAAGTCGTCGAAATATAGCCTCATTTGCAGCGAGATCAATATGACCTAAACTATCTATACCTACATCATTAAAGTACATTTTTGCTGCATTGTGAACATTTTCATTATTGCAAGGATTATCGCCCGGTTCTAATATTATAACATTTGGTAATGGTATATTGCATTCCATATCAATAATTTTTCTGAGTTCTGTACGTACATCAGTAACATCAAAATTTCTGTTATGACCTTCTATAAGAAGGTAAAATATTTTTTCAAATTGCTGAAGCTGATCCTTTACAAAAGAGGAGATACCCACTTGAAATTCAAAATTTGTATTACTATCTGTTTTTGAAATAATTTCTGATAAAGGTTTCGGCAAAGTAAATTGAAAAACCATCCTTAGTGTTGCATGTGCCGTTCGTCGAACTACATCAAAAATATTATCATAGCAAAATGTTTTTTCCTTAAAGTCAATATTGTCTATAACACATACATTCCATATATTATCACCACGTAAAATCCTTTCATTAGGATTATTTTCCAATCGCCTTTCTTTTTCTAATTGTTTTTCATAACGTGATGTATGAGAAACCACATTAGCCATACATAATATAGCATATAAAGTTGAATGTAACTGTGGCTTTTGGCATAAACTACTCATAACACGTGTCAACCAAATATTAATTCCGGGGAATGTTACTGTAAGTATAATGGAAATTATAAATGCTGAAATCTTAACTGCTCGTGTGTTATCAAATTCTTTATATTCTTGTTTTCGTTGTTTTTGTTTTTTTTTTAAAACCTTCCACTTGTTATATTGGATAAGCATTAAGAATCCTTCAAAGATTTTATGTATTACATTTGGAAAACCACTCCGATATTCATCAAATGTTAATGGTGATTCAAGTTCCTTTTTTTCCCCTTTACTTCAGAACGAGATCTCCAGATTACTAATCCAAGCGCTTCTCCAAACTCATTAGGATACTTTATAATTAAATCATGATATCGTTCTACATCGCATAATTTTTTAATGTTTACTTTTTTTAATCGTAAAGCCATCTTTATTACCATATAGCTGGGAACTTGTGTTTTTTGTAGCGATACCTGAGATTTATCAAGTTTACATTCCTTTGAAACTTCTGTCTTTTTTTCAAAAAAATTAACAATGGTTTTCGAAAGTTCTTTAAGTAAAATATCTTTAGTCAATTGGTCTGAATTGGTTGCTATATCTTGTACCCATTTACTAATGAGATCTAGTGATTTGGAAGTATCATTTTTATGATACTCATTACAGGTAAAAGATTTTGCTCCTCTGCCTTTTCGTTGGAAAAAATGACATCCTTCAATTTCAAAACAAGATGAACAAACATATCGAGATCGGGTTGTACAATTTGAAATTTGACAAAGTTTATTTTCCATAAATACTGGACATTCTTTTAAGCCAGAGCACGGAACTTGCACATTACGTCCTATAACCTTCCAGGAATGATATTTACAACCACCTCTACTAACAAAATACTTATTATTGCCACAGAAAAGACACTGACATAGGTGTATCCAGCTCTTATTAATAGAAACGGTACCTTTTACACCGCGTTTATGAGCGCCATCCTGATCCCAATTAAAATGAGATGAGCACACTCCAAGTAAATGTAAAGACTCTTGCCCATTCACATTGACACATGTTTCTACTGTATTATAATCTAATTCCCATAATCCCATTAATTGTTTGATTGGACGATATGCATTATTTGTACATCGCTGTATTATACCATCAACAATGTCAATGATTACACATTGATTTTCCATATTTCCACCATTACCATTTAACTCATAATCAGTGTTTTCATTATCATCTGCTGATGAGGTTCAAATTGATTCTACCTCTGATTGTATATCAATGTCAGATCCAAACCAATCCACATGTACTTCTTCTTTCTCAAAATCGGTAACCATTGAAGTTGCATATTCCTTTGCATAATTCATTGCAAATTCATCAAGGCAAAAGTCATGTGTTTCGTGATTATCATTTTCGGTCGTATTAGTGGTAGAAGTTTCTGGGCAGTTAGAAAAAGTATCTGTGTTGCTGTACTCTCCATCATCTAGAATCTCGTACTCCTTATCAGGATCGTTAAACTTAACATCAGTTTTATCAACACCTTTTTCCTCAAAAATTTGGGATGATTTTTCAGGATTGGCAATTACATAACTCATTTTTTTTGTGAATATTGTATATCGAGTATCTTTAGAAATAATATATTAATAAAGATAAGTATTAAAGGTAATATTTCAATTTTATTCTAAAGTTGGTTGTGAATTATCGTTATTTATTTTTGACAGATAATTTGTTAATTTTTTTTAATATTATTAAATGAATTTATTGCATTGGCGGTAAATAATTTGTTTATATTTACATAAAAAGGTAATAGGATATGTTGTAAATTATATATTTGACAATGTGAAAAAAAAAAAAAAAATAACAAAAAATAACAAAAATAATGAAAATCTAGCATATATATTATACAAGCCACTTAGGTTGAGATGGACTAAGTTATAGTGGTCCTTTAAACATATAGTTTTAACAAGCAAAAACTACATGACAAAGCCTTCGGTTTTTGTTATTATAAATCACAAAAAAAGATTGTTCATGGAAATGAAATGTGGACTTGAACCAGAAAAATGGTTCTCAGTAAATATGAAAATGTAAAAATCAAAGGCATCAATCCTTATAGTAAATGCAGTTGTCTCCATTAATGGGGAACATATCACGTGATCGATAAAATATCTAAAATTTTACTTTTGCATATACTTGAGATTTTGCTATTAACTCCGAAATATTGTTACACCAATTTT